TGTGTCAAGTGCCATAATACAAAACTATATAACACCCTAAAGAACTATTAAAGCAGTCACAACTAAACTCTCTTGGGCCAACAAAACTCACTGCACTTGTACATGATCAGGCTATTGTACCTTAAAACTTTAGGAAATCTATCAGCCCTATTTATGCCAAGCAAGCATTTTCTTTTCACCAAAAAAAGCAAGAAAATTTTTTTTGTTCTTTTCATATTTTTGAGTTAGCTAGCAAACTTTTATGGCTGGCCTGATGGAAAAAGGTGCATTTTGCAAGTTTCTGTTTCAAACAACAGGGACCTGGATAGAGATAGTTATATTATTTCATGAACTACTGTGTTTTCAGTCCCTCCACTTCATGCACCTAGCTCTCACAACATATTTCCTAAAGCTATCTTGGGGTGGACCCCTTACTTCACCTATACATAAATTATTTCAAGAGTTTAAGGATTTATAATCTTTATCTCATTAGTGGGGCTAGAAAAACAATTTATTATTAAAGAAAACAGCATATTTGTATGTCTTAATTACTTACTAGGTTTGTACATTGTGATTATACAGGAAAAAAACATATTTTCTCAACTCTAGAGGGAGTTTAAAATCAACCCTCTCTATGAAGCCCTCTTCTAATTCTAGGAGGCCGGAAAATAATAAGAAAGAGGTGAACAATAATGATCATGTACAGTTTAATCCAATTACAAATTTAGGTTTGGGACAGATAGCAGACAGTGAAATTGTAATTGAACCTATTAAATGACTACATTAATGAGTAAAGTATTATGAGCTTAGCACTCATACTTTCTAGCAAAGACATGGAAACTCAGTTATACTGAATGTGTGCAAAACTTCAAAACTGTCCTTAAGTTTAATAACCTGTGATCAGGCACTTTTTTCCCCTTGTCTCCCAAAAAAAAGTGAAGTACGAAGGACTGCCTGATGGCAGGTTAAGAGTTTAAAGGATAAATTAGCACACTGTTTATACTTCACAAACATCAAGGTCAAGGACGATGTTCATATGGTTGCAATAAAATCTGTCAGTTAGCATTGCCACAAGGACGAAAGACAACATGATAGAACTCCTTAGAAACAACAGAGGATCCTGTAGGGGGAGGGGGAGTGGGAGGGGCGTGCTATGATACCTTACCTTTTGCAAATAATGAAATAGGAAAATGGATCAGATGAAAAGATAGCTGTTTCATGTCACGTTTCTTGTATGTGCTAAAATATATTTAGCACTTATTTTATTTTATGATCCATCATATATAATGGAGGTCATGGTTACATGTCCATCTGTACTTAACTACCAACCGCAAACAAACAACTCCTTTCCTCCCTCCATAGCAGCATGCCACGTTTATAAGACTGAAAGCAAGCAACGACCTTGATCATGCGGAGTGCTTTTGACACTAAAATTTCTAATTTTCGTAGAGAGAATCAATTATCAAAAAAATACACATCGAACCAGAAAAATGCCAAAAGGAATGTGACGACTTAAGGGTAATCAAATATGTCATTATTGTTTGCCTGCAGATCATATTGTCTGATATTTCCTGAGTACTTGTCTGATATTATACATGCAGTAGAAACTTCTATCAGGGGATGTGGTTAGAAAAAATTATTTTGATAAGCAAAAAGACATTTCCTTGGTACATGTAATGACCCTGACTCCCAATCAACACATGATTATGATGCAACAATGTAAAATCAGCCACAAGAGTCGGTAATGCTATGAAATCTTGTTAATCATCTAAACACCTTTTGTTTGAAGAAATCCGTTTTGCGAACCTAACTGGAAAAATTGGCCTACTTTACATTTTAGAAGGCCTAAAATGATGTAATTAAACATTACCGACACGTTCCGATGTACAAGTATTGTACCTCGGTCCCTAATGCTGCTGTACGCTTAGATTTATGGCTGAATTATACAAATAAACTAAAATAATTGTTGTTTATCACCGAAAGGTTTAAAAATGACATAAAGGACGTTATCAAACAATCCGCAGATCGATTCGGCTCTACTGACAGACCACGTTCATGCTTTTCGGAAAATTTTCATCTGAAGTAAAATTATTACTGCATTAAAACGAAAGATGAAATAAAAAAGAACTGTTGTCGATTTTTAGCAAAAGTTTGCAGGCACTTTAGGGAAATAAATGTTTATTACGTCTCTGCTGGAAAATGTAAGCAGTTAAGCTTGTTCATGCGAAAAGCACAAGGTCACAAGTGTGCGTGACTCGCTCTGGCAAGCGTGTCGTCTTCTCTCATTCACAGTTGAAACAAACATGCTTGATTGACTCGACTTAAAAGATATTGCAAGGATTATTCACTCTCACCATGCACGAGCTAATTACTCTGAGTGAATAAAAATTTTTTCAGTCTGCAATGGCTAATTCCTGCTGAATAAAGTAAACATGTATTATTCAAAGATAAACACGCTGGTGACTTGCAGTTCCAAAACAAAATCGAAACACTCGTCGATTTCAAAATAAATTTCGCAGAGCGTGTCATGACCGGTCTTGGAGAGTAAATACTATACGCTTTGACGAACAAAGATATTGGTAGGAACACATTTCGACTAAATCATCAGCCAGTCTTTATCTTCTCCACATGCACGTTGGAGTACAATAACAGACTAGGGTTCAAATTAAAACAATGCTGGAACATGACCAAATCTTAAAGCAGCGGTTCAATTCGCTTTATACTTGTATCTAGGGAAAACGAAATCCAAAACAGACTCTTGCGATACAAAAAGCCTTCCTATATTTCTTTCTTGAGTTATAGTTTGTATCTTTAAAATAATATGTACATTGCCCAAAACGCACGTTATATGAATACGTGTAGTTTTAACCCTAAACTTTCCGGAAATGTAAGTGTACGCGGGTCAAAACGCAGTCGAGAGGAGAAGAAGATTTTCGTCTCGCATCGTCAAATTCTCACAACGCCTGAAGATGTTATTATTAGGCACAAATAGCTGCAGTAATTGTCTTTTCTTGTACGTAAATTGATAAAAGCTCAAGACAAAGAAAATGTATTACAAAAGAAAATTATTGTCGAAAAACAAAAGCGGTTGCTAGTATCATTATCAACGGAATAAGGCTCTTTGCGGAACAAGGAACTGTCAGAGAGGTTGCTTAAATAAATTTTTTTAGCCGTGAAAATTTTATAGATACTTTAACTAGCCAATTTGAAGCTAATAGTTTATTATGTTCCCTGAGAAACAGCAGGCGAACCAGTCGAATGGATCAAAACAACCCCAGTTTCCACTTCAGTTTACAATAAATTGAGTATCTGACCCGTGCTAAAACACACTACTCTGTCAACCAAGCGCAACTACTCCGGTGCAGTGTCTTCAGGCCCACTGAAAAGACAAACTAAACCAAGTCATATAGAACTGTTCACTGACTTACCTTTCTTAGATTTGGCACCGATCTTGAGTTTTGATGGCCATGTTATGGTGGTTGCCGTTTCTTCCATGATCTACGAGAGGCATACCATCGCAAGACAATTTACAACTCAGCTGCAATTATGTCGAGAATTAAAAGATAATTTGACCTCCTCTAACCTTCTGGAAAAACTCCTCGCCAGTCTGGCCACATCCCTCCACAGCAGCTGAAATTCATAAATATCGCTTTAGCATATAAAGTTCAAATGATTAGCTAAGCAAAATATAGATGGAGAGTAAATAAAGTCGTTCGATGGACCGATCGCGTCTCGTGTGCTACTGACCTTGGAGCATTTGCTCCAGTTTACGACGGTCCACGCGAAATCTTTCCTCCACAAAGTTAGGGTCCCGCTCTTCGTTAGCGTCATCGCCGAGTAAATCTCCTTCATCCTCGCAGAACTCAAGGCCTGTCGCCATCTTCATGATCACAAGCTCAAAATCCAGAATAAGTGAGCGGGAGAAAATTTGCTCTGCATCATATTGCGGCGGTGTGCAGTGCCGTCTTTAACCAATCACGTGGGTCAAGGTGACGTCAGATACGCCCTATTTAACACCAAAGTATCAATTAGGAAAAAAACGCGATCAGCCAATCGTAACGCCTCGTAATGAAAAAATTGATGTTTGATTGGTTTCTCAATGGGAAGCTTTGGCAAATTAATTGACATGATTAGAGACCGGTGACAATCAATACGCCAAACACAAAAGGTTCCGAGGAAACCCCCCCCTTTCCCTTTGATCCTCTATATTACCCTGGCTTCACCGGCGATGTAAAATTTACCTATTATTTGCGGCACATCATGTTTTGTTGTGGGCTAATTTTGCCTATTGTAAAATATTTATTAGTTTTTAGTCGGTTCACTGGACTCCCGCTTGGTCGATCACGCGCAAAGAACCACTGAGCCTATTGGAAGACAAAAGCAGCTAAACAACGAAAGATATTTCAATGAACTTTTCCCAAATATTTGGCTCAATGCTTCGTTAAGAAGGCAACGATATGGGTCACAGAACAGTTCTTTTGTTCCGTGTATGGTATATATTGTTTGAAATTAGTTCTTCTCAGCATCAAATATCGCGTCAAAATCCGCAGGTATAGTGTAAGTCAGTTAAACAATAAGCGAAAAGATCACCATGGGAACAGGACCGACTAAAAAAATTTAAGAACAAGATTTCAAGTTACATCTACCAATAAATTGTCTACATTCAGCCGATCAGAGGTTATAAAAACGGTCTGAGCTGTCTAAAACATTCGTTAGTTTTTGCTTTTCCTACCGAGTATCAAAAACCTAGCCGGAACTTTATCCCCTCGTCTACCACACCTGTTCTTTGATTTTCATAGCATCTCAACAAGAAAACCGTAGGAAACAAAAATCCGAGTTATTTTCATAGCACCTGACAAGAAAACACTGTAGAAAACAAAAATCCGAGTGGTTATTAAATGAAACAGCTTTGCCAGTTCGAAAACCAAATCAAATGGCCATAGTCATGTAGATAAAAATCCTTTTCACAGGCGAACGTGAAAATTTTTAAACCATTAAACTTCATAAACTGATTTGAGATTTTCTTAGCGATTGCAATTACTGTCGTATAGACTAATTAACTTTCGCTTATTGATGTTTTCTATTAATACCTCATTATCATCAAAACTAGTGGGTCAAGACCAGGAAGAATGAACAATATTTTTTAAAACATCGTCGGAGTGTTTAGAGACACTGTTCACTTGCATGGCCTCTTCTTAATGGTTGTACCGATGAACGTGAAGAGACCCGTTTGAAAAGCAAACAGTCTCTCTACAACGCGTTCTCAACATTCCATATCGCTTAGTTCAGTTACACAAATGAATATTTATAAAACATCAGCTGGTTGTAGACTCTCTTGCCTAGTGCACATTTGTGCACATGAATGCTCTTTTACATTCGCTTCAATGAAGACCTGTTCACCCGTTCAACTTTACAATAACGTAGTCATTCGCGGGGTCAGTCCAGTAAGAGATAGAAAATATCATTGAACTTATTCGGTAGCTTGGCTCCTGAGAAGCTAGGATTTAGAAATGGAAATGAACTGCGTCGACCGTGAGTGACTCCAGTAAACTCGGGTAGAGAGGTCAATGGTTTTCACACTAAACAGCCGATAGAATATAATAGAATCAGTCAAATAGCACTCTAAGTTCATAGTTGCTAGTATAAAACGGCGCCTGCGTTTAATTAAATAGCGAAACCAGAAGAAACGAGCGGGTTAGTAATAACTACAAACAACAAACTAATATGGCAGGAGGAAAGATAGTGACAATCATCAAGGGCAATATAAGATACATCAAGAGCTTGGACGTATTTTTATTTTTAGTTATCGTTCTCTTTCGGTTTAAATACAAGCTAAACAATAAAATATACGAAACAATACGCTTGCCTGGTCTGGCATAACCTTTCATCTTTTAAGGTGATGGCTTAAATTATACTTTACACTTTATAATACTTAGCATTGCTGCCGGTTCATCTCAGTAAGCGGAGCTTTCCGCAACACTGAGAGGATAGATCCGGCCATCGAAAAAATAACTTTTTGCTCAAAGTCTGTTCAGCTGATGAAATCTGTTCCAGTTTTCCTGCTTGCTTTTCACTTTCTTGAATTCTCAAAGTCTTTCTCTGTAGTCACTGACCACGAGACTCTCGGAACTACCTTCGTTCTATTTTCTGTTACCGTGGCCCTCGTGTGCCGGCCACAAAGAAATCAATTACAATTAACTGATAAAACATGAACCTTTATTTTTTTTGTCACCAAAAATCCTTCTCTTGAACTGTCTCCGGTTTTTGCGGCTATGGATATGACAGCTTCAGTCTACACTTCAGACCTTTTCAAGAGACATGGGTCAACGATCAAAAACGGCATTTTGCCAGTTTCCAAAGGTGTGTTTTGCAAACTACATGACATATTATTTCACCGTCATTTCAACACCAGCTGATATTACTTCTGATATTCTTGTTATCTCCAGTTTACCTTGTTCATACTGCCGCTGCTTATTAGCAAAAATGACTGTCTGTGACTGTTGAACTGACATAAGACGGAACTACCCCTCTTTCTTATTTACTCTGTCAATATCTACATTTTCATGATTAGTCACGTTTTCCTGCTCCATGGCGACTTCTTTTTCTGGACTCCCGAAACATCGAGTTTGGATTCGAGCTCCAGTTCGAGTTCGAGTTAGACTTCAAGTTGAACTTTTTAAAAATAATTATAATATTAGAGAGGTTTATAGATTCAGGGACGACTACGAGTAGGAAATTTTCTCAATACCAAGTAGAGCGCGTGCAAACCATGAGCAGTGTCGTCGTGGCGGGAACAAGTCATTCAGTATCATTTAGCTAACTTGTCCTTGAAAAAAAAAAGAAATAAAATAAAGCTTTCCTGGGTGCCTTTCTTTTAGAACACGCGCAAAAACTTTAAGTTAAATCTCGCACTCATTCTCTTCCAAACTCGAACATGCCCTGCTCCCTCTTTTTCTCTTTTCGTAAATTAATAAACAAAGTAAAAACTGAACGAAATCTTTTCCATCCGGCTTAAAAGCAGCAGCAACAGAATGTAACAGATAGTAAAACAGAGCTGTGTAATGTAGAAATCGACTAAATTAGCTGGGAAGATTATGTGTACCGGCCGCGAGCCAGTTATAATATAGTAAGCACGGTAGGGGGCCGTTTCTTACCAAGAAACATGCCTCTTACCACGTTGTGTGGACTAACGAATAAAACACAAAATTATTGTGGGTTCTAGTTTTTTTATTCCGTTAACCCCGATGGAATTTTAATTCACGGTTACAGGCCGGAACAGATAAGAGTGTGAAGATGAAGTGGGGTATACCTATTTACCGGTTTGAATAAGAGTTACGTACAGTATTGAGTCGGCACTGATGTAAATCGGCTTCTAGTTTGAAAGGAAGACACCACCTAACGGGCACCTGTGATTCGTATTTGCCACGAGAACCACTGTTAAAACGTACAATTTCCCCAATTCCTAACCGACAGGCAAAGAAATCCTGTATCCCGTGCCAAAATTATAACTGTGAAATCCCGTTTGCAGTTCGTGAATCCCGCACCGTATTTTGCTCAATGCCGGATCCCGAAATACCCCTACAAACCCTGAGCCCAAGAAAGTAGGCGGAACTCAGTATGAAAGGAAGGAGATTCTACAATGTCCCGGTTTACCCAGATAAAATTAACTCGCCATTAGCAGAAAAGAGAGTCTCTGCTAATAAGGTTAGCTTACTGGGTCGTTTTGCTTGTAGCTACACTGAAGTTTTAGTCCTAGAAAGACTTTGCATGTTTCAGTACTCAAAAACAAATAGAACAGTCAAGTTAAATAGAAGAGAGGAAGTTATTTTTTCATGCCAAAATTAGGATGACCACTCCCCCCCACCCCCCTCACGGCTGCGAACAAAACAGTAACAATTTTGCTGCTGACTGGCTCTCCTCCAAAATCCCAGTAACCTCCCCTCGCCCCAATTTAAAACGTACCTTCCCTTACAAAATCTTTTTTTGTTAAATCTGGTTTTAATGTCAGGCGTAAGATGTACTTCATAACCCTTCACGAAATGGTGGGGTTGGGGAGGAGCAAATGAAAGGTTTCTTCGTTCGCACACTCAAAAGTCAAATTGCCACAGGCCAAGCACGAGCATGTCATTAACTAGCTGAAAATAGTTGTGGCTGTCTTAAACAAGAAATTCAAAACGTCAGATACAAAAAATCCGGGGATAAAATTTTAAACACACTACTCATGTTATGTATAGTTGTTAAGAAGATGGTGAAAGAGGGAAAGCATTCGACGCATACTCGAATCTATGATAAGCGCTCCCTTTATGGCTATTAAATTCATTTTCCTCTCTTTTGCTTTTTCGTTTGAGTAGCAGGAACTGCGCAGTGGAAGTTCAATTCCAAGTTATAAAATTCTCCATCATTTTCTCGCATTATCGGGAGACTTGGAAACTGTAGGCGACGGAAACCCGAGCATAACTTAACACGAGTATATACGCACGGCCGTGAATATATTAAGGGTTAGAAGTCGATAGGGCCAGAACTTGAATGCTCACTATGTATGTATTGTAATTATAAAGTAATATTATTGGCCTTTTCTCTCAGATCACGCGCTGATATTTTCGCATGCCTTACACTTCACGCGTCATCCCTACTATCTTAGAGCCTGAAACAGGCTAGAATATTAGCTGTTAATGGTATTTTACACTATGAATGAGGAAAATTGGTTTCCCCTCACCGCCTACGCTTCAAAATCCGGCACATAGAGACGTTACGTAAGTTGCAAAGGTACATCATCTTCCGGACGGACAGACACAGTAGAAAAATAATGAGAATGATCGCGTCATTGGGTCATGGAAAATGGAGATGCCTTTTGTGCGATCAAAATCTTTGTTTTTTTCAGTTGTGAATTTACGAAAATGCAGCTCATTTTTCTTACCGAATCTTGAATCATTTCCCGAATTCCGTATCGTGAATTCGCCAATTCCCGTGTGTCGATCGCTTGTTGTAACAGTCAAGAACCTCGTTCCCCTTTTCCCTAAAAATTCCGAATTCTTACCTTCTAACACGTCAAGGAAGCCACATCCGAGTTCCCTACGACCCTCCTTTTTCGCCGCTGAGACAGGTACTTTTCAGAACTATTGGGGGCTTTCAAAATAGACTGTTGGTAAAATATGTTTTATGTATTATTCAACAACAAGGTTATCAAGTAGTATTATCCACTTTTAGTTTCCGTTTCCGGTCACGTATCCAAAACCGAAAGCGAAGAAACGAGAAGAAACGTGTCAGAAATTAAGGCGATTACTTATTTTAAGCAGTCTAACCTTTGATCAGTAACATCACGCAAATCGAAATCAGGCTGCATATGCAGAAACAGGGTTCGTACAATTTTTTGAACAAAGAATTCAAGGACTTTCAAGCACACATTTCGCATTTCTCAAGGGCAAAAAAAGAGCCTTGAGTCTACACTCTTTTTTTTTTTATAAGAATGTTGTTTTTCCGGCCCAGGCTGAATATTCTTATTTTTCTGCTGATTTTAGGCTGAAAATATTCTTGCATTATTCTTAAATTATAGCTTATGACATTTCCGTTTTAGAATTTATTGGGGTATGTGTATATGTATTACATGTACCGTTCATCGAACTGTCGTTAGCGTTAAACATTTTGCTATAGCTAGTGCAGGTTTTTTCGTTTTGTTGGCTAGTTTCGCCGTTCAGAGAAAGGAATAATTTTATACAGTTAAGTTAGAAACATAAAATTGTATTGTATTTACAGATGTTTCAACACACAAAATTATGTCTATCCTTTTCAAAATCTCAGCCTCGGCTTTATTCTTAAAATATTCTTAAAATTTCGCAAATTTCAGCCTCGATATTCTTATAAAGTATATTCTTATAAAAAAAAATGAGTGTATGTCTTGTTTTAGTTCTTCCACATCTGGAGAATTTTATCCCGCGGGTCTTTGTCTTTGCTCCTTTTCCTTTGCAGTTATCCTTAAACTATTAAGTTAGTATTGAAATTCAAGGACTTTCCAGTATACCGACTGCAATTTTCAAGGACTTTCAAGGCAATAAAATTCAAGGAGTTTCCAGTACCAACTGCAATTTTCAAGGATTTTCAAGGCCTTGAATTTTTATTTTAAAATTCAAGGACTTTCAAGGATTTTCAAGGTGCGTGCGAATCCTGCAGAAAGTGTGAAAACTTGCAGCGCGCTAGCGGTCCGACCATCAGTTTTCTACACACACTAGCTTCTGACAGCACATACCTCAAAAAGCCTCAGTTTCCACAAATGTAAACTGCTGGTGACAAGAACATATTGGATCATATTCATTTCCAAACGTAACGAATAAGAGATACGGAAATTAAACCTGTGATTTTTCTGCCCTCAAACTAAGACACTCAAAACCAAGAAATCTTATAGGTGATGATTCTGAAGGGCCACGCCCAAAACGCTAAAAATTGTTCGACAGTAACAGCGAAACACTACACTGTGCGGATAGCTGTTGCGTCGTCGCCACGCCGAAAAAGAAACCGGACAGGGCCTCTGTTCACACATACGAACGGTTGTGGCGGCGCGATTTCTGTGACGGAGCGAAGCTGCCCCGCGCGGATCTCCAAAGTGGAGTCATGGTTTTTCGTAACGCCGCGAAAAGCTATGCGTTATAGTGCGAACACAGCCTAAAACTCTGATTACTTTTTCTGTTTACATTCAAGCGCCGCGCAAAGCGGTTACTTTACATATTTTAGACTTAAGTAGCTTTGAATGATCCTTTCAAGAGGGTAGGGAAAACATCAAAGGGTAAAGATTTGTTGAACCGTGCACCACACCCCAAGCGAGTTACCCACAAAGAGACCCTTCCTCCTCCCCGCCCCCGTTACCGCCACAGAGCATACCCCCAATTAAAGTACTGTTTCACAATGTTACTTGGCTCTTGCACGTCCAAACAACAACCAACTAATTCTAAAAATGGAAGAACAATCAACGACTCAAAAAATAAAAACCGAGGAGGATAGTGCTCATTTTATTTATTTATTTATTGTTTTTTTTTTCAGGTAAATATACGTCCTTTTTTTCGGTGAAAACGAATTAACTCAACGAAGATTGACTATTGACGTATTAAATCAATGATTGTTGACGCCCATTCGATCAAGGGTAAATAGCACTTGATCTGTAAAATACAAACCGGATATCATGGTCAGAAGGCTTGTCCTATGTTCTTGACCGCGACCTAAACCTATTCAGAATCCTTGACTGAGCGATAAACAAGTGGTTTACCGCAAATTTACTAAATGACAGGTGCCCCCGTATAGCATATTGTATTTCGTAATATGCTGTGCACGTCCAACCTTTCCTAAAACGCAAGCCACCATATTCAGTAATGACAACGAACGACATTAGTATGCATGCAGTCTTGAACAAGTAGCTCCCTGTTTGGCACTCATGATGCGGCGAGGAGGTGCTCAAAGTCAGGGGCACAGATCATGCGATGTTTTACGTGTCCAAGGCAAATCATCTCTGACCGGTTGTCTTCAGTGTGAACAGATACAACATCCTAGAGAAACACAAACACACAAACACTTTCATATAGCCGGATACATTTACGATTCTAAGTACCGACAATTAACGGGTCAAGTTCACTGTTTTGCCCTAAGGGAGCTTGCAGGGATCGAATTAACTCCTCTAAACTCTAAGGAGGGAAATAATTTAAGAGAGTGAGATCGTGGGGCAATGGACTTGGAAAAGCGATTCACTCGATTATAACTTGCAAGAAGTTGTATAAAGCAGCAGCTTCTTTTTATAACAAGCGCATTCAGAATTTCTCAATACTAGTTTACAAGAGTCTATTTTTTAAGGAGTATCCACCTTACGTAAGGAATATGTTTACTGTTCGCCATACAACCTATAATTTGCGCGCTACCCATATGTTGACTCTAAACAAGCCTAAAACAACAACCTATGGACTACACTCTTTTTCTTATTTTAGCAATGGAACCATCTTCCCGAAGAATTAAGGAACAGTACTTTTAATCATTTTGAGCGACCTGTGCAAAGGCTCAATACGTTTGATTAGTTTTCACTATTAAATTTTTGTCTTATTTTGTGTGTGTATTTTTTGTTCAGTTTAGAGATCTTAATTTGTTTCTCGAAGATATTAGCTATATAGTGTAGCTACTCTAAAATTCGAGTTAAAATAAAGGTTATGAATGTATGTATGTAAACAAGACAAAAGGACTAAAAGAAGGGAAAGTAGGCGATTTTCCAGTACCAACTGCAATTTTCAAGGATTTTCAAGGCCTTGAATTTTTATTTTAAAATTCAAGGACTTTCAAGGATTTTCAAGGTGCGTGCGAATCCTGCAGAAAGTGTGAAAACTTGCAGCGCGCTAGCGGTCCGACCATCAGTTTTCTACACACACTAGCTTCTGACAGCACATACCTCAAAAAGCCTCAGTTTCCACAAATGTAAACTGCTGGTGACAAGAACATATTGGATCATATTCATTTCCAAACGTAACGAATAAGAGATACGGAAATTAAACCTGTGATTTTTCTGCCCTCAAACTAAGACACTCAAAACCAAGAAATCTTATAGGTGATGATTCTGAAGGGCCACGCCCAAAACGCTAAAAATTGTTCGACAGTAACAGCGAAACACTACACTGTGCGGATAGCTGTTGCGTCGTCGCCACGCCGAAAAAGAAACCGGACAGGGCCTCTGTTCACACATACGAACGGTTGTGGCGGCGCGATTTCTGTGACGGAGCGAAGCTGCCCCGCGCGGATCTCCAAAGTGGAGTCATGGTTTTTCGTAACGCCGCGAAAAGCTATGCGTTATAGTGCGAACACAGCCTAAAACTCTGATTACTTTTTCTGTTTACATTCAAGCGCCGCGCAAAGCGGTTACTTTACATATTTTAGACTTAAGTAGCTTTGAATGATCCTTTCAAGAGGGTAGGGAAAACATCAAAGGGTAAAGATTTGTTGAACCGTGCACCACACCCCAAGCGAGTTACCCACAAAGAGACCCTTCCTCCTCCCCGCCCCCGTTACCGCCACAGAGCATACCCCCAATTAAAGTACTGTTTCACAATGTTACTTGGCTCTTGCACGTCCAAACAACAACCAACTAATTCTAAAAATGGAAGAACAATCAACGACTCAAAAAATAAAAACCGAGGAGGATAGTGCTCATTTTATTTATTTATTTATTGTTTTTTTTTTCAGGTAAATATACGTCCTTTTTTTCGGTGAAAACGAATTAACTCAACGAAGATTGACTATTGACGTATTAAATCAATGATTGTTGACGCCCATTCGATCAAGGGTAAATAGCACTTGATCTGTAAAATACAAACCGGATATCATGGTCAGAAGGCTTGTCCTATGTTCTTGACCGCGACCTAAACCTATTCAGAATCCTTGACTGAGCGATAAACAAGTGGTTTACCGCAAATTTACTAAATGACAGGTGCCCCCGTATAGCATATTGTATTTCGTAATATGCTGTGCACGTCCAACCTTTCCTAAAACGCAAGCCACCATATTCAGTAATGACAACGAACGACATTAGTATGCATGCAGTCTTGAACAAGTAGCTCCCTGTTTGGCACTCATGATGCGGCGAGGAGGTGCTCAAAGTCAGGGGCACAGATCATGCGATGTTTTACGTGTCCAAGGCAAATCATCTCTGACCGGTTGTCTTCAGTGTGAACAGATACAACATCCTAGAGAAACACAAACACACAAACACTTTCATATAGCCGGATACATTTACGATTCTAAGTACCGACAATTAACGGGTCAAGTTCACTGTTTTGCCCTAAGGGAGCTTGCAGGGATCGAATTAACTCCTCTAAACTCTAAGGAGGGAAATAATTTAAGAGAGTGAGATCGTGGGGCAATGGACTTGGAAAAGCGATTCACTCGATTATAACTTGCAAGAAGTTGTATAAAGCAGCAGCTTCTTTTTATAACAAGCGCATTCAGAATTTCTCAATACTAGTTTACAAGAGTCTATTTTTTAAGGAGTATCCACCTTACGTAAGGAATATGTTTACTGTTCGCCATACAACCTATAATTTGCGCGCTACCCATATGTTGACTCTAAACAAGCCTAAAACAACAACCTATGGACTACACTCTTTTTCTTATTTTAGCAATGGAACCATCTTCCCGAAGAATTAAGGAACAGTACTTTTAATCATTTTGAGCGACCTGTGCAAAGGCTCAATACGTTTGATTAGTTTTCACTATTAAATTTTTGTCTTATTTTGTGTGTGTATTTTTTGTTCAGTTTAGAGATCTTAATTTGTTTCTCGAAGATATTAGCTATATAGTGTAGCTACTCTAAAATTCGAGTTAAAATAAAGGTTATGAATGTATGTATGTAAACAAGACAAAAGGACTAAAAGAAGGGAAAGTAGGCGATTACGGAAGAGAAACATCTATCACATAAAGGAGAAGACTACCCAAGGAAAGCTAACTCTAAGGAGGGAACAAGAGGGAGGGGCGATTTTGAGAGGGATAACTTGGATTAATAAAGGAAATACCGTAATCCCAGTTAAGCAGTTAAGCAGTTAAGAAAGTCCGTCTCTATATCAACCCTTCTCGGGAGCTAAGTCTATCATTACGCCAGAATGGCAAAAAAGAAAGAGTAAAATAAATTTTACAATAATATTAAACTGAACGATTCTCGCGCGCTAGCAGGTCAAAAGTCATGGTCGATGATGGTGGTAGGTTTGTTTTCTCTTTCCATCGCGTTCGATTTTCCGAGAAACTTCAACGGAAATGGACGTCAAAAAGTGTCAATGTTATTGTAAAAAACAAATCGACCACCATTTTCCATGGTCTATAATCCTCTTGACCATAGAAATGACGTCAAATTGTTCGAAAGTTTGCATGCAGTGAAACCACTCGCCGTTCCGCCTGAGTTTTGGCATTTTGACGTTATGTCTATTGAAGATGAGAGTAGCAAATATGCAGTTCTTAGTGAATCTGTAATGTGCACATAATTTTACACAACTTCAGAAACCCTACACTAAAATTCCCTAACTTCACAGGCCCGAAAATGAAATTATTTACGATTTCTAGCTTTCAGTGACTGTAGAATGTGGTTAGTTTTTAAAATATCCTAAAACAGGCTCTATTTTTCTTCCGCTTGAGTTAAATTTTGAAAAACCCTGTGGTACCGCGTCTAAGAAGTCACCCACAAAAACGGATTTGGTTTTATAAGCAAACTAGAAACAAGTAAAATAGGAGGCTGTTCAACTTCCACCGTGAACACGATCCCCCTCTTTCTGTTTGCGCAGAACTGTTTACAGTAGACGTTACTTTTTAAACTGTAGATTGCAGTGATTTTGTTACAAATAGTTAAGGTAGGTCTTGGGACTCATCTTGTGAAATATCATGAGTATGTCCATAACAAATGAGTCGCAGTTCAAAAAAACAAGGAGTCCTAAATTGAAAATGCTTGGGCCTTTATGTAGACGGACGCCAAAACTCTTTATTACAGTTTACCGAAATTGAAATGTAGCACAAAGAATACTAAAATAAATATGCATCTTTAAACAACAGCCACATAAAACACACGAACAGAATATTCTACCAAAAAATCTTCAAATCGATCGATCGTTCTTTGCGCCCGGTCCCACAAGACGCATTTCATGAATTATTTTGCGTCTTTGGGGATTTTTATGCGTCAGGAACGCAGGACGCAAAGGTGCCAAAATCACTGAGAATAATCTAAGGATCAATTCCCTTGTCTTAGGGGAGGAGTAGGTGGTCCGTTACCCAGAATCCTCAAGGGTTGATCCGATCTAAGTTACCTGTAAAAATCCGCATGGTGTTCCCGTGGTGACATCTAACGATACATCGCCCAGTAATAATCTGTAATAGCAAATCGTCTGCACAATCAGGGTAGCAAAGAAAAATGCTTTTCTTTATTTACGCAAAACATACCCTTACATACAGGATTTACAAATTGCAAAACGAACCAAAGGTTCGGGAATCGTCGCGCATCTTATAAGGTAATTAGGGAACTTAAGCAGCGACGACGGCGACGACAACGAGAACGGCAAAAAAGTAATGAGTTTGATTAGCAAAACAACAACTTTGCCGTGCATCACGCGTTTTTGTACATTTCTTTGCCGTCACTGCTCGCCGAGACTACGACGTGAAAATGCCTAATTCACGTATTATGGGGAACGTAAACAAGCGACGACGTTTTTTTCTTTCGCTTTCTAAACTTGAGTCCGGTCCCCAAGAAATCAACTCCCCGGGAAATTCGCCTAAATTTCACATTTGCAGTGAATTGGAATAAACGCCGCAAAGTTTGAAAAAATACGAATTCATTTTAAAAGTGACGCCGGTTTTCGCTGCCGTCGCTGTCGTCGAGGGGACCTTAAGATCCGACGACGGCGACGGCAACGGGACATCACAAAAGCAATAGGTTTAATTAGCAAAACAACAATTTTGCACGTGCATCACGCTTTTCTGTACATTTCTTTGCCGTCAATGCACGACTACGACGTGAAAATGCCTAATTTCACGATGTACAGAGGAAGTACACAAGCGACGTCGAAATTTCCTCTCTCTTTCTGAACTTGGATATGGCTCTTAGGAATTCAACTTTAGGAGGGTTCGCCTACATTTGACAAAGTTAGTGACTTGGAGTAATCGCGATGCAGATTGAAAGAACGCGAATTCACTTTTTCAGCGAAGTTTTTTCTGCCGTCGCCGTCCTCGGATCTTAAGGTCCCTACTTAAGCTACCTGTGGAGGAGAGGAGGGAGCTGAGTTTTATATCTCATAGACGCGCGACTAGCAGCGATCTGAGGTAAGAAAGGTCGGTTCTTCGTCGGAGTGCATGTCTAAATATTTTTGCAACTGGTTGTAGCAGGGGCTCAAAGAGAAACTGGAAAACTGTTACAATAGTTGCATACCTTGCTTTACCAGACCTGAGCAATTGAAGTTTTCCTATATATCCTTCGGAAGCATCTTTGAGCGACAGCTTTTTTTGTTCTTTAGGCTAATAGAGGAAATTTACAGAGAGACAATGCGTTAAGCTGGGAAAAGTAAGGAAATATTAAACTAAGCTTCCAGATCAGTGTTTCACAAGTAATGAAACTTATTGGTCGGAATAGGAAAAAAATTCGAAGATATTAAAAGTTTGATATATTGATCCTTTTACCTCCGTGATTCCCCCAAAATAATCCACAAGTTTTGATTTGTAACTTATAAAAATACTAAAAAAATGCGGTTGGTGTAATACAAATGAGGAGGTTCATTTGACTGTACCCATCGACTGGTTTCATCCGCACCATCCTAAAATCATATTGTCGCCATAACATACTCTTTGAATGAGAGGATACGGGGATAAAACGAATTAGTAAAATCCAACTAGTGGTCTATTATCAATGCTGCGTTCTGATTGGTTGAGCTACTACTGGGCTATATGTTATAGCCTACTAGTAGCGAAAAGCAAAAGCTTTTCTGCAGCAAAAAGTAGCTAAATTTTTTTTATTNTGAAGTTTTCCTATATATCCTTCGGAAGCATCTTTGAGCGACAGCTTTTTTTGTTCTTTAGGCTAATAGAGGAAATTTACAGAGAGACAATGCGTTAAGCTGGGAAAAGTAAGGAAATATTAAACTAAGCTTCCAGATCAGTGTTTCACAAGTAATGAAACTTATTGGTCGGAATAGGAAAAAAATTCGAAGATATTAAAAGTTTGATATATTGATCCTTTTACCTCCGTGATTCCCCCAAAATAATCCACAAGTTTTGATTTGTAACTTATAAAAATACTAAAAAAATGCGGTTGGTGTAATACAAATGAGGAGGTTCATTTGACTGTACCCATCGACTGGTTTCATCCGCACCATCCTAAAATCATATTGTCGCCATAACATACTCTTTGAATGAGAGGATACGGGGATAAAACGAATTAGTAAAATCCAACTAGTGGTCTATTATCAATGCTGCGTTCTGATTGGTTGAGCTACTACTGGGCTATATGTTATAGCCTACTAGTAGCGAAAAGCAAAAGCTTTTCTGCAGCAAAAAGTAGCTAAATTTTTTTTATTCTCGATATTTTTGACCAAGTAGTTGGATTTTACTAAAACAATTATTCCTCTCGCCCTGATGGCCTGAGTCAATAGCCCATTCGGCCTTCGGCCCCATGGGCTATTGACTCAGAGCCCATTCAGGCTCGAGGAATAATTGTTAATGATAAGTGAACGTGTGGTATATGAGCGCGTAACTGGAGTGGATTGTACTGAGATCTTACCCACTCAGCGAATGGGTAGCCTGTTCCAGGAGTTCCGATAGTGAAGTGCGGCACGAGGTAAGAGAGCGGGAGAAAAATAAGGAGGAAGAGAGGAGAGGGAAAAAGGAAGGAAACGTCGCTCTCACCCCCTACCCCACCCCTTCGCTGTTTTTTCTTTTTTCTGCTCACATCTCTTTGCTCTGCCCCCACGATCTGACCGCCTCGAACAGGCTAGGGTACAGAAAAGGCGTGGTTGCATGGATGCGTGGTAACTCAGCGGGGAGACGCCATTTTGGGTTTTTCTTAATTCTACGCATGGGCAGATGGTAAAACCTCTGATAAAATTCAAAATTTAACCAGGTTCGTCAGTTCTATGTGAACAAGGTGTCAAGTCAATTTTTTGTTTCCCCTTCCCCTTTCATTTCAAACACCTGCCACCCGGGCTAGGTCGAAAATTGGTCCGGCGGTGCCGTTTGAAGGTAGCCTAAGTTACTTATGCAGTCAGTCCTCAAACCTTTTCCTCAGAAGCCGTCTGTTCAGCGGATGCATCTGTATCTACAGGCATGGGGGACTCATCTGTCTTAATAGGCAGCACATCAGGAAACTGGAAGAATAATAACTGCTCTCCTGTCTACAAAAAGCGGGATAAAAGACATGCTCACTGGCATTGCTTTACTTTTGTTCTTGTAGGTGCCTGGTGATTATGTCAGTTTGTAATGTTGTTTGGCTGTTGAGCAACATGACGCTTACTGATTAAGGTTTCCAACTTTTTACCATCCATGCGAGTAAGACAAGCTCTTTAACCAACCCAATCGAAGCAAGCATTAGAACAAAAGAAGCAAGGCTGATTTTCAAATTCTAACGTCTTAGCTTAACCTTAGCATTGTATGTAAGACCCTGAAGAAGTAGGGCCGTGCCTTCCGAAATATTGGTAACAAAAAATAATTCCCGACCGTAAAATCACCCTTGTCTCTCTTGTTTCTTTTCAAACTTATAGCTGATTAAATCCTTTATTAGGATCCGGTCCTTATTTTTTGTAACGTTGTTCCCTGCTTCCAAAATGAATTTAAAGCATTAGAACGCTTCATGTCACCAGGTAAAAGACCTGATTGAAAGCACCAGAACCAATTAACCCTTTTCTAGTGCTTGCGCATGTGCATGCGTTTAGGTTATGCCGTGTGAAAACGGAACGAAGCATTAGCACAAGATGATTTATAATGCCTCGCCAATAAATCCTTAATTCTAGCCTAGGGAGTGCGTTCTACAGTTGTTTACAACTAGCAGCCGAAACTAGTGTTTTACAAAAGTGACGGCTTGCCCCATACAAATTGTCTAAACGGAACAGGTTATAAACAAAGGAAAAATCTGAGCTTACATTTAAATGTGCTTCGAAGCTGCGTTCGAGAAACAAAAACAGAGAATTTACTTCTTTGCTAGCCAAGTTCTCCATTCGGCTGTAAAAAACGATGGCTTTTTTGCTTGTGTATACATGGGTCGGCTACCGCTCTCGTCTTCTTTGACACTACACTCTCATAGTCTGCTCTTGCGATGCTTCGCTAGTAAAAAGCAGGTTAAAGACTGTGTTGCATCGCTAACAAAGATCTTGAGAAGACCTGTCTGTCCTCATTAGGAAGACTTTTCCGAAATTAATCCCTTTTAAAACACGTTTGTTTGCGAGATTGAATGCCCACAAAACTTAAGTAACAACAATGTACAACTTTTCGTAAGTTGTAAAAGTATAAAGGAAACATTTTACTAGAAGCAACATAACCAAGAATATGCATTAGTCTGATATTTTCGTGATCACTCATACATACCAGTGACTGCGCGGAAAGAAGATTGGAAAGCGTCTTTTTATCAATTAATTCTTTTTTCACAGCTTCTTGTTTTATTGGTTTCTTGATAGTTTCCGCTGACTTCACTTGTTCAGCATCCACCAGGTCAATGTCCATGGGTTCACTTTTCACTATCAGGGTAACAAAAAAAATCAGGTTTAAAAACCATGAAATTTGTGGTCCAAGGACTTTTTTTGGGTTAGACCTTGGTACAAAGGAAGAACAGAAAGCAAAGATAAAGTTCTCATTTTTAGGTCAAAAAAAAGAAACCAACCACGACCAAATGGTTCACAGACTTGTCTTGAAAGCAGTTGATCTATAGTTAAGACGACTTTCTTCTGACCAAGGTCTGAGGCGATGGAGTGTGTTAGAGGGTATAAATTAAACCGGAGTAAGGGTAGAACTCCTTTAAATAGACTTATAGGGGGATTCTCGTCCTATACTATGTGTTTGGAAAATATAGTCGAAGGCAACTCCGTCTAAGTCGAACGAAAAGGAATCGAAAATCTCGTATATGAGAGAAAGGTAATTGAACTGGCATTATCCCAGTCTCATTTTCCATGTCATCATCTTCAATATCACCCTGTTATGAGAAGAATAAAAATCATAAAGACTGTTAGTCTCGAATGTGAGAAGCATTGGAATCATCACAGAGTAAGCTATCCTGAAAAACCATCAAAATAACACAAAAATTGTGAAGATGAAAAAAACAGCATGTCACGAGTGTGGGACAAAGAAAAAATCTGAGTCCCCAACAGGATTCGAACCTATGACTTCCCAAACACCGGACAGGTGCCACTCTATTCACTGAGCTATGGAGAACTCATGGAGAGTGAGGCCATATACTAGGTTCATATTTGACATGCGTCCTGCATACTGCTAGATCAGCAATGTAGAGATCGTACTGTATGTACACAAATTGTTTATTAGCCTATTAAAATTTTATTTAATTTCAGTGCTTAACATATTGTTTGCATCTTTGGTAATTTTAAAGTCATTTAGCACATAAAACATGCCGGTAATGCTGTTGGTTGTTAATGTTTGAACCAAGAGTAAGAGCTAAGTTAATAAAGTGGAATGGTTACGACGCCTGTCAGATCTCTTTGTTATATGTTTTGGTCAGCTCTTTTGGACTGGATGGTGTACAATATTCAACAGACGATTTATGAATTCCAAAAACTCTCATTTTCAAATTGAGGCCAATTTCAAAACCTTTCTTATGAAAATAGTTTGCATGAGAATAGAAAAACATTTTTATATCAATGGTTTTCCACTTTGAAACAGACATTTGAGGCAACTCGAAAATGACCTATAACGTTACTGTCATTTTAGTCTTTTCAAGCAGTAATAATGTAGCATAAGTAGTCAAAGTAGTAACAGCTGGAATATCTTACACTTGTTTGAAGCATTTTAAGAACTCTTTTAGATTCCTCATCATTATCCCCATCAGCACTGAAAATAGAATAATTCAGAACATACCCACTGTATGACAATAGATATCTAAAGGGTGACGTCATAAAAAATTAAATTTGTGAAATTACGGGATTTGTCAGGATATTCTGAAAGAAAAACATCCAAGAGGTGTACTTCCAATAAACTAGCATTGTCGGGCAAATTGCCTCTGAGATAATAGCCCTACAAATTCTTCTCAATTTGGCTTGGGTCTAAATGTTTAGACCCAAGCCAAATTTAGAAGGATTTGTATGGAGTCATCAGAGCATTACTGGGCTAATATCTCAGTGATAACATAATTATCATAATTATTATTATGATAATAATAATTATAACATAATTATTACAATTAATCAATAAAATAATAATAGCTTTATTGCAATAATAATAATAATAATAAAAATACAAAGAATAATAATAATAAAAAGAATAAAATATAATAAAAACTAAACTAACATATTAAATAGAAAAAAGTGAATTAATTGTAGTTTACAGTAATCTCTATATTTCACATGCTTTTACCTTTTAATATTTAATTGTGTTTCTAAAGAGAAATGATTGGTAAACATAATGAGCGAGTTTTTTACAAAGAAATATAAATTTTTCCGAAATTGTTCAGGTCTGCGAAGCTGGAGTACTTGTCTTCTATATCTCGAAATAAATGCTTTTTTAAATTGCTATATAAATTGCACTCTAGTAGAAAATGAGTCTCATTCTCAACTCACTAGTTTCAAATGGAGGACAGCTCCAGCCAACGTAATATATAAGGTACAGGTGTATACAAGTCAGTGTTGTACATGCATGCAATATTTATTGTTATTTAACAATTAATGAATGAGGCTGAGTATCTTATGAAGAATTATGGAGATCAAGGAGGGTGTTATCTGTCTCGGCCATAACACCCTCCAAGATCTCCATAATTCTTCATATGATACGAAAGCCGAATTCAATAATTGTTTTATTACTCATTCAAAATAATTCCTAGTTTAAAAAAATAGCTTATCTTTGATAGTTTACATTTAGGTTTGTCCAGCTCCGCAAATATTCTCCAGATAGCAGATGTCGCCCTCCGAGTTGTCTTCTTGCTGTTTTTGCTATGTTTTTAGCCATCATTTCACCTAGTTCCAGCTGTAGTTCTTACTCTTGAAACGACTGAAGTGTCTGCCATTTTTGTTTTTACAACGAAAACAACTCAATCTCATCCCCAGGTCTTCTCGGTTAACGGTGCATTAACCTGTAGAAGGCTGCATTTTTGTCGTCATTTCCTCATTAAACACAAAATTCTTCCAAATTTGGTCATCAGTAACTGGTTATGGTGAATTATGCGTGTGCTTTTAGCCAATCAGAATTGGGGAAATATTTTGAATGAATAATAATGTTGGTTAACCTTATTTAGACACAGTATTAATTAACAAAATTATTGCGATACCTTTCTTTTTTAACTGTGAAACTGGACACACTTCCCCCGCCTCCTGAAGATGAACCATAACTTGGAATGGATGATCCTGGGTGTTGGACATAAAGCAAATGTGTGTTAAGAAGTATGTTCCATATGGCTTTTCAATGGGCCTATCATTAAGGGCCATGGCCTATCTAGTGACAGGCCCTTTTCAGCTCGCAGTCAGGTGACCTGCTTAATGCAAAACTTACTTGGCAGATACAACTAAAACAGCACCAGGAAGTGTGTATAGTTTGGTTGTTGGCATCTGTTACAACCAAAAACCTCTTTGTTTACTTGGAAAACACTCAGTTAAATTCTCTTACCAACTCTCTGCTTTTCCACAGGACCCACTCCCATAGAAAAGATTGACGAGGACTGGACAATGGTTGGCTTGTTCCTCTCTCCCCTTCCTCTTCCTCGGCCCTCACCACGCCCTCTGCCTCTACCTTCACCTCTCTGCTGCCTTTGTCCTCCAGATCTCTGATGAGAAATATAACGGTCAGAAAAAGATCTCTTGGCAAATTGAAAAATTAGTGGCAGCAGAAACTACTAAGAACAAAAAACTTACTTCTGGGGTAAGGTTAGGTTCATCTCTTGACCTAAAAAAAGACAAAACAAAAGCAAATTTATGAAAAATTTAACACATGTTGCATTATAACATTCCTTACCCTGGATTGAGTAAACTCAGATTTCAAGACAGTTGAACTGCACTTTATGGACACCCGCTTAATATTGTTATCACAGACCTCGTTGTTAACCTGTATTAATTGGTTTTGCTAATACTTATCCACTGAATAGTGATCTATCCAGCGTTTGAACAACCAGGAATAAAGCAATTACTAGACTGAAATTAAAAAAACAGCTTTTATATAATTATGTTAACTGTGACTGGCTTACTCTTGTTTTATTCTCCTTGTTGGGATATTAGGAGTGAATGTTCTCTGTAGAAACAAAAAAAACAAATGAAATCAACAAATTACACATGTTTTCACTTTTAAACATGGAATACTATGTTTTGACACAGAAAGGGAAATTATTAGGCTGAGAGAGGCAATGTGGCCGACCAGTCTGGACAAGTTCAACCCCTGCTGTATTAGTTTTGCACCTCATTAGATTCAATTTCACTTGATAACATTTTCAACTAGCCATCTGGTTCACTTAATGAAACTTAAGATGGAATCTAATAGGAAATTGAGTAATTTTAATTCTCAGTGGACAAAAATCTTGTACCAGAATAATTTAAACAATATCGCATTCTTTTTTGTATTTTTCAAGGGCTAAAATTCCTAAGAGGAACAGGGTGCAAAGAAAATCATTTTTACAGCTTGCCATTAGGGCAAGCTGAAGCTAGCATTTACTAGCCCAGATGTCATTTCAACTAGCCCCAAAAGCTTTTTGACTAGCAGAATAATTGATCTCAAAGTTGTTCTGTTATTCGAATTCCTCAAAAAACATCACTTGCCTATCGGGCAAGTCAAAAACAGAATTTACTAGCCCGATTACAAAATCCACTAGCGCCAGGCTATCGGACACTACTTTCTTTGCACACTGAGGAAAGAGGAAAATTAAGAAATTATTTCTTTAATAACAATAGAATTAATTGAAGGAGGCTGATGAAAACTGTTCAAGCAGTCATAGGATATATAATTATTTTATATTCACTTGAGGATTCCACATCATGATCATTTTAACTAAAGGACTCTTGTGATACACTTGAGCAAGGAACTTTATCTGTAGTTGTATTAAATACCTTTGCTGGGGTTATACCACTTGCAGCACCAAGAGTCAAGTCTCTAGCTGGTCTTAATGATGGCAGTCTGCCAGGACTAAAAGAAAACATTAAACACTGTAATACATGCGTAACAAAGAGGTGCAATGTGAGCTTAAAAGTCAAAATATAAGCCGAAGTAGGCTGTAATTCACAATACAATAGGAACCTTAAGATCCAACAACAGTGATAGCAACAAGGACGTCAAAAAAGCAATACGTTTAATAACCAAAACAACAATTTTGCACTTGCATCACGCTTTTTTGTACACGTCTTTACCGTCACAGCACGACTATGACGTGAAAATGCCTAATTTCATGTTTTACAGAGGAAGTACACAAGCGATGACAAAATTTTCCCTTTCTTTCTTAACTTAAATATGGTTATCTTAGGAATTCACCAACATTTGAAAAAGTTAGTGACTTGGAGTAATCGCGATGAAGATTGAAAGAACGTGAATTCACTTTTTCTGTAACATTTTTGCTGCCCTTGCTGTCCTCAGATCTTAAGGTCCCTAATACCTGCTGCAGTTCCAGGGGGCGGGGGAAGGGGGGGTTTGAGGTATACGTCTTAATTTAAACCCTTTTTAAAATTACATTTTGCCAAGATATAATAATGGGACAGGGAGGAAAACGCCCAGTCTAGCTCTTGGGATATGGAAATGTCACCGATGTTACTTTAGGAAAAATTAAACGCTTGAAATTAATTGGAAGTTGGTTCCCAAAGAGGTCCGCAAACTTTTATTCAGTGTCGTCAAGACAGCATTCAACAGTCAGCATTTCAATATTCTGCATTTTTGCATTGAGGTGGTCAGGTAT